GGTTGCCCAGAGAGGTGGTGGATGCCCCACCCCTGGAAACATTCAAGGTCAGGTTGGATGGGGCTCTGAGCAACCTGATCTAGTTGAAGATGTCCCTGCCCATGTCAGGGGGGTTGGACTAGATGACCTTTAGAGGTCCCTTTCCAACTCAAACTATTCTATTATTCTATGATTTATCTCTTTGTCTGTTACCTTGAGGTTGGTATCTAAACCTCACTGCAATATTTTGTTTCTGCTGCAGGTTAATACAGCCACTTTTTCTGAGATTCTTGCTACTTCTTTTTTTGACAGTATCACTATGTGTTGGCCTCCAGTTTCTCAAATCCTTTGATTTGTGGATGTAAGTAAAATTCACCACCCATTCACCTGCTCTTGCTGGATCTGGGCTGGTCTTCTGGCTGTTTTTGTTTGTGCCTGAGTTCAGTGAGCAAATACCTGAAGTTCAGTTTGGCTCTGCTGCGTTTAAGGTCAGCACTCAAGGAGGAGCGAGGCATCCCATGTCTGTGAGGTTCCTGGTCTGAAGAGCCACCTGCCTCGCTCCATACTCAAAGCCATGGTGATAGCCTATATTAAAAGAGAATGAATGATCCAGGTTTTTGGTTTTATTATAGCCCTGAGTTAAGTGGAAAGCATAGTTGGATTGTCTTTTTTTGTTTGTTTGTTTTTTCATGGAATACCATGATCACCTGTATGTCTAAGATGCAGTTTTCTTTCTGATGTGTAATGCTACACTAAATGCATTAAGAACCACAGGATTGCCACTTCATCGTTGTATTCTTTCCATTTCTTTGCATTCGGTAATGCAGAGACGGGAGTCTTACTGCATTGTTTAAAAACTGGAAGAGTCTGGAGCAAACCTGTTGTTGTTGGGGCTTGTTTTCTTGCCAGCCTTGGTAGAATGAACTTCTACTAACTGCCCAGATAAGGAAAACCCATCAGTGCAAGATTGATGGATATGCTAATAAAGAAAAACAATGTACAAGAAGAGTATTTGCCATTCATGCGTTTTCCATTAACATGAGGCTATCAAGGTTCCAAAAGAGCTTTGGGTGGGAGTGCTTGTCAGGAGTATTGAGGTCTGTCTTTTCTACTGATTCCTTCTGAGTTGGTAAACTCTCTTGGGCTCAGCATTTTGCCCTGTGTATTCACGGTTAGTTTAGACTATGGACTAGTGACCTGAGTTTTAGAGCTGATGCACGTCTGCTTCTACCTTTGAAGTTAGTAGGGTTTAGGTATGTTGATGGGTGTTCAACATCTCTGAAAACGAAGCCACTTATATGAGTTCTCAAATTCCTAGGTTGGTGTGCCTGAAGGAAACGATACAAGTTTGAAAATGTTGACTTTAAAATATACTTTGGTTTCCAGTCTTGTAAGTAGACAAAATAAATTTCATACCACATGGGGTACCCAGGAACTTAATTAGGGTGAATTAAGTGTTTTAAAATCTTTGCAGAACAGAAACTGCTAAGTGTGTGCAGAATAATAGCAACATGTGTATGTTTATCAATGAGAACTAGAGTTTTGGATTCTAGGTGTAAGAAATGCTTTTGGGATAAGATATGGATAAGTTTATCTCAGCTTTTTGCCATGACATCAGCCTGCCTGGTCACGGTTAACATTATTTTAGCCTTCCCTGACCAGGACCCACTACTGTTAATTGAACACAAGATGATCATAATAGCCTTGCTAGGGACACTGTGAACCATAGTATGTAACTGAATAGTATACTACACTGTGAAATAAGGACTATGAAAAGAGAGTGTTTCAGATATAATGCAGAGCGTTTCACATGGTAATCTTGAGTTATCCAAATAGCAAACATGCAATAATGCAAGAAAGGGAGAAACTTTATCTTGCTAAGGTATTACACATATTTTTAAATCCAGCCTTCATTGTAGTATTTCACTGAATTACGTTTTTATTAATATTTGGAAAAGTCTTCTGCATATAAGCAGTGATCATTTCCATGTCTTTCATATTTTAGAATGTATTTTAAGATTTTAACAGTACTGCTCAGTGCAATATGAAACACAAATACAATGTAATAAAGAAGATTTTTTTTTTCAAAATGTAAAATGTAGCGATTCACACAAAAACTTAAAAAGCAGAATTGGCTCCAAGAAAACACATCAGTTTAAAACATGCATATCTTTAGTCACTGTATTATCTTTACTTGGTTCACTGGAAGAGCTCTCAATATAGATAAATTAGATACTTGGAGTAAAAGAACCCATCTCTTCTTTGCCATGTGAGAGTACCCTGTGCTTTTGGTAGACACTGTGCTGGCTATTAAGTTCTTATTAAACTTTTATTAAAGGCTTCTGTTCATGCTACTTCCCATTTTAAACATGTAAAAATACTAAATATTTTTTAAACATTCCCATATAGCAGTGTTGCTCCTTCTCAAGAAGCAGTAGCTTCTCAGATTGTTTAGCTGAAAAAGTAATGTTAAGGATAGTTGCAGCTGCCAAAGTCTGGAAACTCAGAGTTACATCTGACATTTCATTCTTCACCTTAACTATTGAGCCTTGGCCATTCATTGGTTTTTCACAGTGCTTTGGAGTTAGAAGGGAGTTTTACAGATGAAGGATGAAAATCAAAATAAACTCCTTTATCAAGTAAACCTTGCAAGGGCATTCTGAATTTTGCAATACACAGGGAGTTGATTGTGATATAACATACAACACAAGAGGGTTGGAATAAACAATTTATTCTCTATCGTTAGGGATGGCCATGCATAACTGACTTATGGCTCTGGTTTGCTCTGCCACTTGTTACATGTGCAGTCATCCCTAAGTCATACCAAAAATAGCTTATCGTACTCCTGTGTTGCATAGTTTTTATCAAATGTTCTCTCATTAAAAACTTCACCGGGGACATTGAATGTTTCAAGATGCTGGTGATGCTTATGAAAGCTTTCCCCAGAGCTTGGTCTCGCTGAGTGGATTTGGTGCCGACAGTGATCATGAGACGCTTCCTGATATCCTACACAGATACAGTCTGGTGGGCAGGTAACAGTCATCATTTGACAGTACGTAGCAGGTTCAGTGCAGAGGTCAAAGGCTGGCTTGTCAGAAAGACTGAAGTACCGCAGGGGCTCCCCCCAAGTCAGGAGCGAAGCAGGGGGCTAGGACAGCGTGGGAGAATATTGCACTGTCACTGCCCCTGCGCTGTAACTCCTGCCCCTGCAGGGAGGGTTTCATTCCCTCCGCTGTCAATTCAGGACCTTCCCTGAGCCCTAAATCCATTTAAAAACAAACAAGGCCACCTGCCAGATAATTCCCTGGCCATCCTTGTGATAGATGTATCTGCAGTCTGTAGTTGTCTTTTGGGTAGCCATTTGAAAGGTTTTATTCCTAAGCATCGTGTGGGTCGAGCCTTCAGCTGCGTGCCCCCTTCCTGAAGGAGGTTCCTTCTGGGTAGTGCGTGTCTACAGCACAACCTAGTTCATTTTGCCCAATCTTACGAAGAGAGGATGCAGTCCTGGTACAAATGTAAATTGGTGGGTCCCCAGCACGGTCTAGGTAGTAGTTGGAGCTAAGCCACTGGTGTGCCTCGGTGGTAAAGCCCCTGCTGCCAGAGTGCACTGCTGAGATTGGAGCTCCTGGGCAGCTTTGACCCCACGGAGTGCAGTCGTGGTGGTGGGCTTTGGTTCTTGGCATTCGGTACCTTTCTTGGTCAGGAGTCTTTGCTGCAGACTGACACACAGATTGCTACAGTGATGTTGTCGTGCTTGGAAACATGTTGGTGTTTGGCAAGGGTGCTTTCCATCCAATGCATGGTACCCCTGCATATTTGTTTGTATCGATGCATTTTTTCCAGGCTACGTCACCTTCCTACTTCACGGGAACATTTCGAGCGTAGACCTTTATTTCAGTGTTATCACACCCAAGCTTAGTATAACTGATGAAAGTTCAATTATATGCGAAGTGACTATTAAAGCATCAGGGCTCATCTGGGGGTCTGGGCCTCCCCTCCCCTTTTCACTTACAATTGTGCTAAATCCCTTAATGCTGCAAAGAAATCGTACGTTCATCAGGTGGAGCGTTGGAGGCCAGGGTGCAGATAACTGCTTTTACTGCATATGAGACATTGCAGTCCTGTTCTTAAGAACTGCCAGGCAGATTGGGAATCACGGTCACGGTTAATAGCAGCGAATTGCCAGCTCTTGATGGGTGGGTAGTCACTCCTTTCAGTGGTTGCCCCCTGGGGGAGAAGGTAGAAAAACAGAGGGAGGGAATTAGAGTGACTTTGCACAGTTGAGCAGGTTCATGCCGCTGGATCAGTGGCAAGCATTGGCAGGGCTCCACTCTGGGGAGGCTCACAACAACATCACAGTCTCATTTTTACCAATTGGTGTTGCTATAGCCAGTGGTGCACAGGGGGAGAGCGAAGAGAAGGGGGGGAGCCGGGGGGGAGAGTAGAAGCAAGAGTCTGGACTAAATTAAACAAACAAAAGTGCTTGTAAGTAGCATTTAACCCATAACCATTAGCCCAGTGCTGCTAATTGTACTAAACTATATATCTGAAGTTCAGTGTGTGATTAAAGAGTTGGCTCACAAACTCTCTGCATAACCTTAATTTTTTCAAGGTTCTTTGAGTGTAGAATGGCTTATAATAATGATTTTGACTAATACGATTTTTGACATGCAACTTTAATGCTTAACCTTAGTACAACTCCAGAGCATTTCATGTGTATTCAGCTGTAAAGAGTGATGATTTAAAGGGATAATATAAGAAAAAGGTCGTTCTAGAATGAACCTCTAACAAATTGCATAAAGGAAGCTTATTATTCCATGAGTAGAGAGATATGCAGCTTTTCTGATCATTTTTCTGCTTGGTTCAAAAAATTGTTGAGACATGATTGGGGAAAGAAACACAAAAAATGAAATAGAAAACTGCAAGCAGTGAACATTCTTTTGATGGTTATGATTTTGTTGCCACTAAAAATACTCCTCAGTAATGCGGTTGTTCATCTTTCCTCTTGTTTTGGGTGAAGAATTCGTTCCAATAAGAAAATGCTGTTATTGGTTGGAGGATTGCCTCCCGGACCTGACCGGCTACCCAGCAATTTGGTTCAGTATTATGATGATGAAAAGAAGACGTGGAAAATACTGACAAGTAAGTGGTTCATTTTTGTACAGTTGTCTTGAGGAATTTAAAAACATGGTTAATCAAATTAGACACTTTATTGATTTGTTTCTCTTCAGAGATTTGTTTATGTATCACAAGGGGCTTCACAATGGAGCAATAAATTGAGGTTGCAGAAGATGCTAATTTTATAATAGGATAGGCCTAAATTAACATTGGCTTAAAATCATTCCAGTAAGTTTTTTAAGTAAACTTGTAAGTCTTTCATGCTGCAACATGAATACATGCATATTTATGTACATATGAATAAAATCTGGTTTAGGGAAAAAAAACAGGCAATATTTGAGACTGTTTTCTCAGAGTCAGATCCCTGGTAAGCCATAGCACTAGAGCACACCTTTGGTTCTCTTTTGCATTTTCATTTCCTTCTTCCAGCTTTATCTGTTGTCCACAATCATTAAAGAAAGGTTTCCTCTGTACTGCTCTGCGTCCATTGCTGACAGAAGCATTGGTGGAATATATCAGCTACAATAAACAGTGCACGGAGGCTCCTATCACAAAATTCTTTCCCACCTTCTTTTAAAGGTTGATTGTGTTTTAGAGTAAGTATTTTGCCTCGAGCATCGAGATTTCGAACTTACTGTTATGTTGGTTGCGATTCCCAGTCTGACTTGGTCATGGAATCAAATCATAGCTTCTTGAGTGCAGCAGGCTGTGTGTGCATTAGTCCCCTTGTGGCTAAACTGGCTGCATTGGTCAATAAAACTAAATTTTAACTGTCAAAATTGCCCAAAGCAGTATAGATAAAATAATAAATGAGCAATTTTGATCCATAAATCAAAGCCATACTTCTAAAACTGGACAACTGGTAAAACCTGGATTTCCTAATAGACCTGCTTTTTTTCCCCAGTAAAATACATTTTACAGAATTCTGTTCTTCATCCCTTATCCATAGCACTTTAATGGGATACATCCACATTAATATTATATGCACAGGTTAGGATGAAAAAGAATTCAGAAGACTGCTATGATGCAGGACTTGAAATGATGCCTTTGCAAATTGCTTTCTCCCATGGAAAATTTAGGAGCCTTTCTCAAAGTGCTGCAATGTAAAGACTGCTTAGGTATAGATGCCCTGGACTAATAGTTGAGGGTATTGTGTAGGAATGGCAATTACAAAAGGTCGTATGAACTGTACATTAGAAAAGTCTACAGCGTCTGTACTAGGGAACATACTATGCTTCACATTTTTCAGAAAAATGAGATAAGATACTCACCTCTGTACACTACTTCTAAGAAAATTCTGAAGATGGTAAGTCAGTGAAAAATCAATGATATTACGTAAGGCAGAAGTGTTCAGGTTTTTTGAATTTGTTGTGTCTAATCCAGTGGCTCGCCAGGACAGGCAGGAGAAATGGATCTCTTGCTTCAAGATCTGAACTCTCCACTGAATTAAAAAACTTTATTCTGAATCTTACCTATCTGTAGATGTGTCAGATTTTATAAGAATGAAATTTATTCAGTTCTTGGTTACTTACGTTGTGATGCTGTCTCCAAGACTGTGGGATACTGGACCCAGAGGCATGATACCTCTGATATGATACCAATTTTCATGAGAGGCAGGTCCTGCTTGACCAACCTGATCTCCTTCTATGACCAGGTGACCCACCTAGTGGATGAGGGAAAGGCTGTGGATGTGGTCTACCTGGACTTCAGTAAGGCCTTTGACACCGTCTCCCACAGCATTCTCCTAGAGAAGCTGGCGGCTCACGGCTTAGACAGGTGGACTCTGCACTGGGTGAAAAACTGGCTGGGCGGCCGGGCCCAGAGAGTTGTGGTGAATGGAGTTCAATCCAGTTGGCGGCCGGTCACGAGCGGTGTTCCCCAGGGCTCAGTACTGGGGCCGGTCTTGTTTAATATCTTTATCGATGATCTGGATGAGGGCATCGAGTGCACCCTCAGTAAGTTTGACACCAAGTTGGGCGGGAGTGTTGATCTGCTCGAGGGTAGGAAGGCTCTGCAGAGGGACCTGGACAG